CCACAGGGTCCACCTCTAAACCCCGCCCACAGGAATAGCCGACACAAACACACACACTGATACAAAAGGACACAGATACACATACACACAGATACATACTAACAGACACATACTGAAACAGACATACACGCATATAGGCATACATACTGACACACACATACTGAGACATACACACATATACAGACACACAGGCATACATAGTGACAGACAGACACATACTACCATACATACACACATGCATAAGGACATACAGACACATACATACATACTGACATACACACAGACACCGACATATATACACACACACATACATACATACACACAGACATTCATAATTACATACATACATACATACATAAATACTGGTATACATACATACATGCATACAGACACTCACATCCATACACACATACATACATACACAGACATACATTCATACTGACACACATTGATACTGGTATACATATTTACATACATACAGACATAATGACAGACAGAAATACATGCATACTGACATACATGCATACTGACATACATGCATACAGATACTGACATCCATGCACACAGATATACATTCATAATGGCACGCAGACATACATACTGACAGAAATATATACAGACATACATTCATACTGACATACTGACATACATACACTGACATCCATACACACATACATACATTCATAATGACATACATTCATACTGACATACAGACATACATATATACATACATAGAGACATACATTCATGCATACTGACATACATGCATACATACAGACATACACACACACAGACATACATTCATAATGACATACAGACATACATTGATACTGGCATACATACATAGTGACAGACATACAGACACATATACATACTGACAGACATACATACATACATTCATACAGACAGACATGCATACAGACACTGACATCATACACACATACATACATTAATAATGAATTACAGACATACATTCATACTGACATTCATTGATACTGGCATACATACATATATACATACATTCATACATACTGACATACATGCATACAGACCATACATACACACATACATATATTCATACAGACATACACACACACAGAGCTCATTTTTCAGCCACCATCCTGTTTCTTACATTTTCTTTGCAGGAGGATGGCTGGGGATGATGGGAGTTGGCGTGGCTCTTCACTGCCTGGCTGGCTCTCCTCCCGCGCGGAGTGAGCTGGGAGGAAGTGACCTATACATAGGCCCCAATAGGCCCCAACAGCGTGCGGGCCCCCGGTGCAGCAGTTCCGCCGCTACACGTGGGGCCCGGATGGCCGGGCCCCCCAGGGCCACCGGGCCCGTGACAACCATCATGGTTGTCACCCCCTGATAGCGGCCCTGCTGCAGAATATGTTGGCCCTTTAAATAGTTGTAATTGAATTGATCAATTACAGGCAGTATGTGCTTGTAGGAATGATAAAAGCTCTGATGAAGCTAGATGACTATTTATTCTACAGGAAACCGCTGGATAATCTAAAGAGGTAAGGATAGAATGGATGAAATGTTCTGCTCCCAGCTATTCATTGTCTAGCTAGCAGATGACCCTAGATGCTTGATCTCTTGTCTCCTGAAAAGCAATTATTCTATCTTCCTTGCCACACCTGCTGCCTTTTCACATCTGAAGTTTTCCATTGGCCTAAAGGTGTCAAAGCTTTTGAATATTTCAATGTTAGCAATTAAGTGGGATGTTTCCCCTGTGTCGGCCATTAGACCTTGTGGTTTAAGTCCCTCAAGTTGGCCGTCTCTATGAGTGAATATTATCATTGTTATCTGCTGCTTGTTTAATATCTTGTTTCATCTCTTTCCTTTTTCCCATAGGTCTGTATCTGTGAGTCGAGCTATTACAGTAATTCCACCACAGTCAAGACCACCAGTTTGATTACTGAGCACACTTTGGCACGGTGCACTCTTTGGACGCAATTGGAACAATTAATATTAGAATTGTCCTTCATTTTGAATATTGGAGTCATATTGCTCACTTTCAACACTTTATCATCATTTGTGGTGGCATATTAGTTTTCAGTATCTATAAAACTTCTTAACCGTGTCTTAAACTCTTCAAAAGGACTTTTCCATAATCTTGTGTAATGTGAATGGCAAGTGGCCCAAATAATTCAGGCAAACCTTTCAGAATCATCACAATCTCACGCAAAATTTCTTCTGCATTTCTTAACACTTAAATGGCTGTCTCTGCATATATACCATAGTCCGTCACACTTTTATTTATGTCTTTGCAAAGGGACGTTAATTTGGTGTATAAACGGACTCCTCTGGGCTTTCCCTTACCTGCATAATAATCTCTCAGTATTTGAAGTGCTTTTTTTCCATAATCAGTTGCATGTCTCAATATAAAAGATAGACTTTTATCATCTAAGAATTGAATTAATTCAGCATTAGCTTTCTCATTCTTACATTTATCTTCATCATCATCATCATCATCTTGGTTATTCAGGATGGTTTCCTTAAGGTTCATCACTCGCAGATGTACTAAGTACATCGTTTTCTATAACTGGTAAGTTTTGGGCCCATAACCAGGTTGCATTCTGCAGGCTCAGGTAGGATAATTGGACACATGCACACAATAATGGAGTAACACAGCACACTCAACAGGAGAAGAGGAAGAGCAACAACTTTATTGTACCATGGGCAAAGAACACTTTGAATTGTTGTGTATTTACCTAGCATTTGTTCATAAACATGTCCATAAGTTGGTGATAATATTAGAAATGTGGCATACTAGCAAGGTAAACATTGCTGCAGTCCATCAAAAAGTTGTCAAAGCACAGTTTAATTGTGGCCTGTTCATTCTAGCACTTAGTCCATATGCCTAATATCGTGTAGGTCCACCTCGTGCTGCCAGAAGAGCTCTGATGCTTTGAGGTATGGACTCCACAAGGCCTCTGAACGTGTCCTGTGGTATCTGCTACCAATTCATTAGCAGTAGATCCTTTAAGTCCTGCAAGTAGCAAGGTGGGGCCTCCATGGATCGGATTTGTTGTTCCAGTACATCTCACAGGTGCTCAATTGGAATGAGAAATGTGAAGTTTGGAGGCAAAGTGAACACCTTGCACTCTTTGTCATGTTTCTCAAACCATTTCTGAAAATTCTTTGCAGTGTGGCAGGGTGCATTATCCTGCTGAACAAGGCCACTGCCATCAGGGAACACCATTCTCATGAAAGGGTGTATGTGGTGTGTACCACTCTGTAGGTAGGTGGTATGTGTCAACAAACATCCACATGAAATTATTTAATTACAAATACCGTATATACTCGAGTATAAGCCGAGTTTTTCGGCACATTTTTTGTCCTGAAAAAGCCCCCCTCGGCTTATACTCGAGTCAGTGTCTGTATTATGGCAACTTACATTGCCATAATAGAGACCAGGACAGCCGGGCTCATTACAAGCCTGTCGGTCCTGTTGGGGGCCGGCAGCAAGCTGTTATTTACCATTGTAGCAGCTTCGGTCAGCTCCCTTCACCTCTCTTCCCTTCCGCTCACAGCGTAAGTCTCATGAGACTTACACTGTAAGCTGCACAGCCCATCCACTGGACCACCAGGGAATCATATAGCCCCCCTCCCTGGCCAGGCAACAAGCAGGGAGGGGGGACAAAAAAAAACCATTAAACAATTACATTTTATAATATTAAAATAAAAATAAAATAATATTAAAATAAAAAATAAAATAAAATAATAATATTAAAATAAAAAAATAAAAATAATAAAAATGCACTCCCCCCCACCCAGTTTACACACACTACACAAACACACACACTCTGCATTATCTCCTTAATCCCTATGTATTTTTAAACAAATGGAGGTATTTTAGTTACCTCCAATGGCCATGAGAGGATCAGCCCACCTACCAACGTCAGATGGGTCCTAACTCTAACCATTCACCTTGCTTCCTTGAGCTTCTGGCAAAGATCTCTAATGAGATATATGTTAACCCTTAATAGGGAACACATGGGATGGGAAGCTGCATTGTAACAAGGCTGAGTGATAAAAAAAAAATGGATACAAATGCAGAAAGATAAGTCCTGCGCTCACTCCCATCACTGGGCGGCAGCAATGACTACAGTACATATCAGCCCCAATTGTTACAAAAACACTACAGACAGTTACAATGTGGCTCTTCTCTATTTTTCACACAGAACCTTGCTTCGGTAATTTAATTGTGTAACCCAATTCCCGAATCGATTGCCCGTTACCCATTCGTGTATACGAACAATGGACCACCCGGTCCCTGGCGTGTGCCACCACTTAACCCTGGTAACCTTTCTAATACCAGAATGGCCGACCACCCTATGAGCAGAACGTGTCCCTAATTAATCGCCCAGGGAGTTGCGGTCTACGGTTAGCCACAATCTAATTGACGGTCTCGGGGCATTCTTATTCGGGCCCTACTGCCCGAACTCAAACTACCGATTTCGCATAAATAGTGATGCATGTGTGCCATTAAAAGTAGTTCTTGTCTGACCTTCAAATCGCAGCCTCAACTCGTTTTGTGGGTAAAAGAGTATCCTAGCTGTACCATAGCTAGTGGGATTATTCTACATTTACAGGATTCTTATGGTTTACTGGCTAAAGCGGCTCGTTTCTCTCTCTACACCGGGAAACCAGACTATCCAAGTGGTCTAGCTTCCAGCTAGCCTGGGAGTAACCGTAACATTTGGTGGCAGCGGTGGGATCGTTCTGGATTTCCTAGGAGAGATACTGAACGGATGGAGAGCGCTTATGACAAATTGAAACGCACTACCTTAAAGGACTTACTCGAAAGCCGAGGTGGGAACGCAAGCAACCGGCCGAGGAGGGAGTTGATCGCAGAACTGACGGAACTGGACCAAAGCTTCACCATGGCAGAGGCCCCGACGACAACTGGTGACTAGAAGGCCAGGATTGTTCGGGAGAGGCTCTCACTGTATGGGCCGAACCACTCTATAGAACTGGTGCAGCAGCTGATGGCGGAAGCAGATGAGGACATACAAAAAGCTAGAGCCCATGAGCTCATCCTGGTGACCGCACACCGCAACAACGACTCAACCCCGACCTTAATTCCGACAGAGAGCACCGGGAGGCCAAAGATACCCTACGCGGCTTTTAGACCTTTCCTGGAGAACGAGACAGGGATTGATGAATACTTGGCGGACATTGAGCGTCAATGCGCATTGCACCAGATCCCCAACAAAGAGTGGCCCACGATATTGTCTGGAAAATTATCGGGGTGAGCACTAGAAGCCTTCCGGACCCTAAGCTCCGAGGAGGTGACCTGGTCAAGGACACACTCCTGTGGTGATACGCTGTAACTCCTGACAAGTATCGCCGACAATTTTGAAGCACTAAAAAGAAACCAAATGACACTCACATGGAATGGGCACACCGAATGCGAAGGGTGGCGAACCATTGGATTAACGGAAGTAAAGCCGTGACCGCTGAAGAAATCCTTCAATTCTTCCTGTTGGAGCATTTCTATAATGGCATAGAGCAACAGGGAAAAGAATGGCTGCGAGACTGACGACCTGCTACCCTGGAAGAGGCAACCAAGTTAGCCGATGAACATTATGACTCACAGCTGCACGAACCCGCAAACTACCGAACAACAGCACGAGTCGAACATAAGGAAAACTACTGAACGTCCCCTCGTACCGACTTCAGAGCTCCAGTGCCCGCTGGGCCCATACGGTACTCAGGACCACCCAGTAACAACACCTCCGACCGTCCTAGACCAACGTGCTTCCGATGCAAACAACCTGGGCATCTCATGGCAAGCTGTCCTCTCAACACCCACCAGACCTCCCAGAATTATAACTCCTCGTCTGGTCTCCCTCGTCCGGCTAGAGCTCTCTGTGTCAACCAGGAGACCCTCATGGAGGAATATGGGGGACCGCTCCACGAAGCAGATCCGGTATACACCGCTTCTGATAACCGCCAACACCATAGACAAAAGGTATGGCTCGAGGGTCACCCCACAGAGGGACTAAGGGACACTGGTGTTACTATTACGCTGGTTCAAAGCCATTTGGTACTGGAACACAATCGATCAGGACAGACTGTGGCTGTTAGAGTGGCGGGGGAACATGTATATAAGATTCCTACTGCTAAAGTGCATCTTGATTGGGGAGCGGGAAAAGGGGCCGTGAACGTGGGCATAATGGACAATTTGCCTGCCGAAGTACTGCTGGGCAACGATTTGAGCAGGGAGGGGGGAAAAAAAAAAACATTAAACAATTACATTTTATAATACTAAAATAAAAATAAAATAATATTAAAATAAAAAATAAAATAAAATAATAATATTAAAATAAAATATATGCTCCATCATATGCTCCATCATATAAAAATGAGGCTGACCCAGTGACTCCTCGAGTGCAAGCCCGGACGCAGCAAGAACCCTCACCAGTGCGGGAGACACAGGTAAGACTGACCACGACTTGGGCTGACCCCTTGGTACCCATACCCTGGGACACCCCAGCCACTTTTGAGACTGAGTCTAAGTCCGCCCTGACCCTACAAAAATACAGAGAAAGGGCAGAAACTGGAGGGGGTGGGTTAGATAACGAAATGTTTTTATAGGAGAAAAGAAAGCTATATCACTTGACTGAGAAAAAGGGACAACATAGACGACAGCTAGTAGTACCCCACAAGTACCATCAGGAGATACTAAGAATAGGGCACGATATACCTTTAGCGGGCCACCTAGCTGTGACTCGCATCTTACACTGCATCACCCACACCTTTTTCTGGCCGGGAGTACACGGGTATACAAACAAATTTTAGTTCAAATAACTGTTGTAAGAAATCCTCAAGTGATACAGTTACACTTCATTCAAATAACTGTTGTAAGAAAACCTTACGTGATACAGTTACACTGCCTGTTAACAGAGTGAAATGCCACTGTGGGAACAACAGCTACAAATCAGTGTCAATAATGTATCGATATACCAGTATCCGGGCTCAAGGAAAAATAACCAAGTCCCAGTGAGCTGCACTGAAGCTGCTAACAAAGCTGATAACAATGTTTACCGAAACTGCAGTGTCTGGACTCCAAAACAAGCTCGAAAGTGCCAGTATACTGCAGAAAATAGAGATTTTAACCTAAGATTGCTCAAAAGGGAGTCCAAGTGGATCCATGAACTTAAGACCCTAACACCCTTAGGTCTTAATGAGGAGTTTAACTTTACTCCATTTATACACTAGCAATGGCCGTCCTGCACATATCACTCCACAATCCCTCATCACCACTCCCCATGTAAATAGTAGTAGTCTTCCTATACAAATTGTTATTTTTCCACTACTATTTTTAGTCTTCATTTAATATTAGGCTGAAACTTTCATTGTCTAATATAATGCTTAAGTCTTCATTTCTGTCACATAATGGCTGCAAATAGTCATTATTAAGCTTAAGTTTTATTTATATATATGCATATTATAGATTTGTAACATCATACGTAATGTATTTTAATATTAATATAAGTACATATATTAGTATTAAAATACACTTAGAATGACGTTACATATATAATATGTATATATATTATATATATATATAATACATATATACTAGTGGTGTCCCGAACGGTTCGCCGAACGGTTCGCGCGCGGACGGCGAACATAAACATAAACTTTGACCCTGTACCTCACAGTCAGCAGACACATTCCAGCCAATCAGCAGCAGACCCTCCCTCGCAGACCCTCCCACCTCCTGGACAGCATCCATTTTACATTCATTGTGAAGCTGCATTCTTAGTGAGCTGTCCAGGAGTTGGGAGGGTCCTTGGAGGGAGGGTCTGCTGCTGATTGGCTGGAATGTGTCTGCTGACTGTGAGGTACAGGGTCAAAGTTTATGTTTGCCGTCCGTGGCGAACCGTTCGGGGAACCTTTCGGGACATCACTAATATATACACATATGTTATATATATATATATATATATATATATATATATATATATATATATATATATATATATATATACGTATAATTACAATAATAAATACATTAAATAATAAAATAAATAAATAAAATATTGAAACAAAATTTAATATAAATTATATATTCATATGTAATTTCATTCTAACTGTATTTTGTTATTAATATATATATATTGGTAACATAATACACTTAGAATGACATTCTATAAATATCTATCTATATATAAAATACAAATAACCGCAAATATATATATATATATATATATATATATATATATATATATATACACATATAATTACATAAAAGATTACATTAGTATACACGTAGATTTCAAATACCTATAAATGCATATATATTAAAATTCTACGTGTATATTTAAGTAATCTTTTAACATAATTATGTGATTTGATTAATTAAAATTTGGTTGACATGCCTGACACAGGGAGAAAGTGCAGAGAATTTAATTCGCAAGCACTATATTTGACCCTGTAACTCTCCAAGACACCATACAACCTGTACATAGGGGGGTACTGTTTTACTCAGAAGACTTCGCTGAACTCAAATATTAGTGTTTCAAAATGATAAATTGTATTACAACAATGATATTTTAAGTAAAAGTGACATTCTTTGCATTTTTTACAAATGAACGGCACTTTTATAGACTATATTGTTGTTGTAATATGTTTTACTGTTTTAAAACACTAATATTTGTGTTTAGTGAAGTCTACCGAGAATTACAGTACATCCCATGTACAGGTTTTATGGTGTTTTGGAAAGTTAGAGAGTCACATATAAGGCTTGCATTTCATTTTTTTGACATTGAAATTTGCCAGATTGGTTATGTTGCCTTTGAGAGTGTGTGGTAGCCCAGGAATGAGAATTACCCCCATGAGGGCATACCATTTGCAAAAGTAGACAACCCGAGGTATTGCAAGTGGGGTATGTCCAGTCTTTCTTTGTAGCCACTTAGTCACAAACACTGGCCAAATATTAGTTTTTTGCTTTTTTTACACAAAAACAAATATGAACGCTAACTTTGGCCAGTGTTTGTGACTAAGTGGCTACAAAAAAAGACTAAACATACCCCACTTTCAATACCTTGGCCTGTCTACTTTTTCAAATGGTATGCCATTATGGGGGTAATTCTCATTCCTGGGCTACCACACCATCTCAAAGGTAACATTACAAATCTGGCAAATTTCAATTTGAAAATGGAACGTTCTATATTTGACCCTGTAACTTTCCGAAACACCATAAAACCTGTTAATGGGAGGTACTGTTGTACTCGTGAGACATCACTAATTACAAATATGTGCATTTTTCTGCAGTAAAACCTAACAGTATTATGACATTAACAGCTACAATGTCAGACGGAAATATAAATTTAAAAAGAAATCTTGTTTTCTCAATTGTTTTTACATTTTATTCATAATAAAATATGTTCCATATATGAATAGTTAATGATAAATTAAAGCCCTGTTTCTCCTGAACAAAATGATATATAATAACTGTGGGTGCACTTAATGTGACAGCGGCGGTGAATACGGTTGAACAGACATATAACTCAAATTCCAGTTTTTGTTTACGTTTTGTTTTTATCAGAACGTGTACTATTGACTCCGTCCTGAAGAGGTTAAGAACCATGCCTAGTATATATTTCACAAGCCTTAACCCCTTAAGACCGGAGGGCGTACTATTACGCCCTATTCTAAGCGGCTCTAAACGCCGCCGGGCGTAATAGTACGCCCTCCGGTCTTTCGGTACTTACCCGGTCACGGCGATCCCACGCCGACGATCGCGGTGGGGGGGACTCCCAGGGAGCCCCCCGCGGCACGACCGTCCTCCTCAAAGCCCCCCGGCCGTGTGAGAGTGGGGTCCTTGCGAGGACCCCACAATCACATGGCCGGGGGTAGCTGGCTGCAGCATTGCCAGCAGGGGGACTGCCTGTAATGACAGGTGGTCCCCCTGCTGGCTGAAAATAAAAATAAAATAAATAAATGGTGTAAAAAAAATAATATATACTTAGATCACATATACATACACACACGTACACCGTCTAGGTGTATTTTACTATTAATAAATATATATATATATATATATATATATATATTAATATCAAATTACATGTAGACTGATAATGATTAAATATATATATATAATTATTGTTATATATATATTTATATATAATATAAAAAAATAAAAATGTAAATACGTTAAAAAATAAAATTTAAAAAATAATTAAAAATAAATAATTTAAAAATATATAGATGTGTGTTATTTCATTCTAACTGTATTGTGAAATTAATATATACATAGCAAAATACACGTAGAACGAAATAATATATATATCTATATACATAAATATATACGTATATATCACTATATATACCTATATTTAAATTAAAATATTTTAAAAAAATTATATAGATATATACATATATATGCACATACGTATATATATATATATATATACATATATTAATTATACATATATATTTATGTAATATTTTTATATAATTAGGTATCTTAATTAATTACAATTAGCAGGACATGCCTGACAACCCATGCCGAAAGTAAAGGGAATTTAATTTGCTAGCACTATATTTAACCCTATAACTTTCCGAGACACCATAAAACCTGTACATGGGGGGTACTGTTCTACTCGGGAGACTTCGCTGAACACAAATATTCGTGTTTCAAAACAGTAAAATGTATTACAACGATGATATCGCCAGTAAAAGTGACGTTTTTTGCATTTTTCACGCACAAACAGCATTACACAGACAGTATTATTGCTGTGATACTTTTTACTGTTTTGAAACACAAATATTTGTGTTCAGCGAAGTCTCCTGAGTACAACAGTACCCCTCATGTACAGGTTTAATGGTGTTTTCAAACGTTACAGCATCAAATATAAGGCTTGCGTTTCATTTTTTTCACATTAAAATTTGCCAGATTGGTTACGTTGCCTTTGAGACCCTATGGTAGCCCAAGAATGAAAATTACCCCTATGATGGCATACCATTTGCAATAGTAGACAACCCAAGGTATTGCAAACAGGGTATGTCCAGTCTTTTTTAGTAGCCACTTAGTCACAAACACTGGCCAAAATTGGCGTTTTTTTGCATTTTTCACACAAACAAATACTAACGCTAACTTTGGCCAGTGTTTGTGACCAAATGGCTACTAAAAAAGACTGGACATACCCATTTGCAATACCTTGGGTTGTCTACTATTGCAAATGGTATGCCATTATGGGTGTAAATTTCATTCCTGGCTACTATACAGTCTCAAAGGCAACGTAACCAATCTGGCGAATTTCAATTTCAAATGTAACATGCTATATTTGACCCTGTAACTTCCCAAAACGCCATAAAACCTGTACATAGGGGGTACTGTCTAACACGTGAGACTTTACTGAATACAAATATGTGTATTTTATTGCAGTATAAGCAAACAGTATTATGACATTGACCGTTAAAATGTCATGTAGAACTAAAAATTTTTTAAAAAATCGTATTTTCTCCCATTTTTTTCATATTAAATTATGTTTCATAGCTAAATATTTGATATTAAATGAAAGCCCTGTTTCTCCTGAATAAAATGATATATAACAAGGGTGGGTGCATTTACTATGAAAGAGGTGAATTACGGTTGGACAGACATGTAGCGCAAATGCCAGGTTTTGTTTACATTTTGTTTTGTTCACAACGTGTACATTTGGCTCCGTCCTTAAGGGGTTAATACTCTCAGTAATATTTTCGTATCATTCACCTTTTATTTTTTTTGCATCTTTGCTACTAATCTCTACCAAGCATGTAAGAGTTAATTCTTTGCTCCACTACTTACCCACCCATTAAGGCATAAAAGAATTCTCATTGGTTAAATTCGTTTAAATCCACTAATGAGAACTTCACCAGACATTTAAAAACATGATTCCATATTAGTTTTTTCTGCTCCAGCCCTAATACAGGATTACACGAAAATTACTACAACGAAGAAGGGAAAGGTCGCCTTAACAGACCTATTGGCATTTTACTCCTGAGCTAGGCATTTAGCTCCGGTAAATGTGAGTGGTTCCATATATACACACACTCACTTTTATTTTGTACTTACTATTTTACACTATTGGAGTCCTCTGTTCTTTTTTCCTTTCCTAGGTGTTTTTTGTGAAATGTTAAGAATAACTACCAGTATTATACTAGTTAAGTATATTTTATTCATGTATTAGAGGTGGGAAACAATCCACGAATGCTCCCCCTAGATGGAGTTCGCCTAACAAACGGGCAGCCACCCAGGGTCGGCACACGCTGAGGCTTCCCTTGCAGTTTGTGGTTTTCACACCTCGTAACAAGATGTGAACGTTCTAAGGCAACATTCTAAATGAGGTTTTGTGGTCATCCCCGTTCGGGAGGTGAACGGAACTTGTTCGTATTGGCTCTCCCGAATGGGGAGCATTTAAAACTAACAAACAAAGAATGTGTACCGACTGGGATAGATAGAATATACTCTAATACAAATACCAAATAGTTACAAAAATATCTGCCAGACTAGGAACTAAGATTTAAACAATAAAAGAAAAAATGTATCCATTTTATTAAATATAGTAAAAATAAGATAATATATATAAATAAGTGCTTGTATACAAAAGGTGAACAAAGTAATCAGTATATCACATGAAGGGAAACTCACCTATAGCAATGATGCAGGAGACCTGAAAAGTTGGCTAGACAAAAAATAAAATTGGAATTAGTCCAAGCCAATAGTCAATAAATTGGGAGGTTCTAAATATTTAAAAAGTGGCGAAGGAGAGATAAGGAGGTGGAAGAGGGAGGAGGAAGGATAGAAGGGGGGATAATAAGAAGGGGAGATATTTATTCTCCCTGATAAAGAAAGTAATGTTTTTCCACTTTTTGTTTTTTTCTCTCCTTTTTTTTCTTAAAAAGAAGTCAATTATTTCCTGAGGTGTAATAAACAAAAAAAGAAAAAGAAAGAACCATAGATCACAAATAAAAACTTAAACAATAGGCAATTAATAAGTGAATTAAGACACAAACAGAAGGATTATTTGTCACTTTTTCTTTCTTTTCCTCTCTCCTTTCTTTTTGGCACAGGGGATAAAGGGACCAAAGGGGTATATTAATAAGACATAAATTATTTCCTGAGGGGAAGTGAACAAAAACATTTAAAAAAAATAAATAAAGAACTATAAACAAATAAAAATTTAAAAATTGAAAATTAAACAGGCAATTAATAAGTAAATTAAGGCACAAACAGAAGGAATATTTTTACACCAAGATCACAATAATAAGAAGGAAATGAATCAAGAGAAAAGGGAAGTTCAGTTAAGTAATTAATCACAGAAAGACACACACTTAGAGAGGCTAGATAATAAAGTTAAATGTAAGGGAAAGAGTGACAAGTTGAAGAATAACAAAAACGTTGCACAAGGAAATATTAAGTAATAACGAGACAATAACACTTAAAGAACTTCTTACCTTTCCTCTCTTTCCCTCTCCCCCACTACTAGTAGTGCCTCTAGTTAGGCTCTCCTCAGATCGATTACCCTTAGCACGCTTTTCCCACAATAAGTGGGATCTATATCTGAGTAATGGCTTCCATTACTCGAGATACGGTATGGCGGGGTTTGTCTGCCATACACTACACTTGTTTTAGGTTGAAGGACCACTATAGTGCCAGGAAAACATACTCGTTTTCCTTGCACTATAGTGCCCTGAGGGTGCCCCCACCCTCAGGGACCCCCTCCCGCCCGGCTCTGGAAGGGGGAAAGGGGTAAAAACTTACCTTTTTCCAGCGCGCGGGAGCTCTCCTCCTTCTCTCCTCCTCCGTTCCGCCCCGTCGGCTGAATGCGCACGCTGCCGCAAGAGCTGCGCGCGCATTCAGCCAACTTCATAGGAAAGCATTTACAATGCTTTCCTATGGACGCTGGCGTGCTCTCACTGTGATTTTCACAGTGAGAAGCACGCAAGCGCCTCTAGTGGCTGTCAATGAGACAGCCACTAGAGGATTAGGGGGAAGGCTTAACCCATTCATAATTATAGCAGTTTCTCTGAAACTGCTATAATTATGAAAAAATGGGTTAACCCTAGAAGGACCTGGCACCCAGACCACTTCATTAAGCTGAAGTGGTCTGGGTGCCTAGAGTGGTCCTTTAATGCCATTGTTTTGGATCAACCCATTTCTTTTTGTGTAAACACTGATAAAGAAGGGTTTTTTGCTGTTTATTTATATATATCAATACTTGGAGAGAGAGAGTCACAAAAATCAAAAAGAACTCATAAATTAAGCTGATCTCTATAAATGCCCAGGGTATTAATACACCATGTAAAAGGTCCATAAACGTAGACTTCTTGGTTAAAAACCACGTACAAATCTGCGCCCTACAAGAAATCCACAAGCCAAAGAAAATACAATAAATTCATCAAGATACTATTATAAGTCCAGCCTTATAAAATAAAATAAAGGGGGCGTCGCAATTATTTTTGCAAAAAATGTTTTGCTAAACATCATCTTAATATGTAAAAGAAACAACAAGTTATTTACACCAGCCAATATTTATGCACCAAATAAAGCAACAATAAAATTTATTTCAAAAGTTTTTTAAAAAAATGGTGCAGATCAGACAAGGTTTGGTAATAATTACGGGGGATTTCGAATGCATAGTCGACCTGCTAAAAGATAGAAGGCGTTAGATAGATAGGAAAAACAGGGGAAAAGATGAGAACAGATTGCAAAACCTATTACATAGTTATAACCTAAGGGATATGTGGAGAATATTTCATACAACAGATTTAGATTACACATGTTATTCCAGAACATTTAATTCTTACTCTAGAATAGATCTTGTCTTGAGAAACACGACTTTGCTGTATCTTGTAAAAAAATAGAGATACAGGACATAACATGGTCTGATCACAGCCCTATTATGCTGGAATACAAAGATAATTTTGATTATTTTCGTAAAGAGTGGCGCATAAAAGACTTTATAATACACAAAAAAAATAATGTGGAAGAAATAAAAAAAACAACAAATCTCTTCTTCTTATAAAATAAAAACAAAAGCACACCATGGTTGATGCGCATAAAAAAGTCTAGTTAGAGGTCACTTGATAAAAATGGCAGCTATTGAAAATTAAAAAGGCCTACCGCCGCTACCGAAACTATACATAACATTAAGTGAATATAAAAGACAAAATAGAACAACACCTTCCATACAAATAGCAAATAAGATTGTGGAAACAGAAAAACAGATTAATAATCAATTAATGAACAAAGCATTTAAACAACTATAAGCACTACAAGCAAAATGATATTTAAAAGGCAACAAACCAGAAACAATTATATCCAACAAATTGAAAAAAGATAAACAAAAAAGACTAATTTATAAAATAAAAGATAAAGATGCTTATTTAATGGTTCCAGAAAAAATAGGAGGAGCATTTGAAAATCTTTATCAGAAACTCTATAGTTTACCAGAAGAAACATTCGATGAGGCAAAAGAGATCGAGAAATTCTTTGAAAATCTGCCTATGCCAAAAATCCTACCCGACCAATTAAGGCTAATGAATCAACCAATAACAGAAGTATAGATAAACTTAGAACAAAGACTGCCCCAGGCCCCGATGGCTTTACAAATACATTTTACAAACTAATGAAAGACCAACTAAAAGGGGAACTTTAACGATATAATGGAAACAGGAAATTGCCCTGGCGAGCTGCTGAGAGCAAACATTGTACCCATCCCAAAAGCAGATAAAGACTTGGAATATATTGGTAATTATAGACCTATATCATTAATCAACACAGATATTAAAATATTATCCTCTATTCTAGCTGACAGATTAAAAATAGTAATACCACAACTCATCAATAATGACCAAGTTGGATTTATACCAGGGAGGTCTGCAACTATTGCAATCCCCTTCTCACCGGTCTTACATGTTCCCAGCTTGCACCGCTGCAATCTATAATGAATACGGCTGCGAGGCTTATTTTCCAGTCCGGTCGCACCTCCCACGCCTCCACGCTCTGTCAGTCCCTGCATTGGCTTCCAGTTAGATATAGGGCCCAATTCAAAATTCTGGCGCTTGCTTACAAATCCCTACATAATGCTGCTCCAACATACCTATCCTCCCTCATACACAAGTATGTCCCGTCGAGACCCCTGCGCTCAGCCCAAGACCTACTCCTATCCTCTGCCCGGATCCCCACCTCTGATGCTCGCCTTCAAGACTTCTCCAGGGCTGCACCTATTCTGTGGAACTCCCTTCCCTCCTCAATCAGACTTTCACCCAGCCTCCATTCCTTCAAAAAATCTTTGAAAATTCACTTCTTCATTAAAGCGTATCAATTAAACTGTCAGCAGGTTTCTCATCCCCCACCCCATGACTCCGTTCCTTCACCTGTCAAAAATGACCTACCAAGCACTCAATAAACCCTTCTGTAACAAACTATTTAATTCCCCTACTTTAACCCTTTGTGTCACTATACCCCACTCCCTCTAGCATGTAAGCTCATCGAGCAGGGTCCTCAACCCCCTCTGTTCCTGTACGTCAGTGGTCTGATCTCAATTATGTGTCTGTTAGTCCACCCATTGTACAGCGCTACGGAATTTGTTGGCGCTATATAAATAATAAAATAATAATAATAATAATAACAGCCTTAGAAAAATAATAAATATAATGGAAGAGATGGAAAACAGTGGAAACCCTCTAATCTTTCTGTCAATAGACGCAAATAAAAGCGTTTGACAGGGTTGGATGGGGTATCATGCTCGCTACTTTAAACCAATTTGGAATCACTAGACCAATTTCACAAGCCGCATCCGCTCTTTACAGCTCTCCATCACTGAAGGTAATAAGCTCAGGATTTACATCACAAAACTTTAATATCAAAAATGGGACCAGGCAATGGGATATATGGATAAATAAAATGGATGACACACTAGGCTTTCATCACTCTCCATAAAGACGATGAAGGGGGAAAGGAAGGAAAAAATATATATAAATAAATAAATATAACCCTAAACCGGGCAACAAACAGAAAAATAAAACCGCAAATACTACATAAGAAACAAGATACTCGGGGCGGAGCTTAACCACCGAGCCATATGGACGCCATCTCTCAGAGCTCCCCTGGGTCATCGGCAAATCTAAAGCCATGCAGGGCCACACTGAGTCCCAGTCAGGCAGGAAAAACACCCAAACCTCCCAGTCACAAGGGGACACCCGCTGATGCCCTTCTTATTCGCCCAAAAGGGCAGAAAAACCCACGGCAAAAGTCGGGCCTATCTTGCTCCATCACCAACAGAGGTCTCGCGGCTATCCTGGCAGCTACTCCAAGACCTCGGGTACCAGACACCACCCACAAACAAGCAGTGGTTACCTCTCGAAGAAGAAATGGGATACAAAACCCCAAAACAGCCAGCAGGAGCACCCAAAGACACCCGAGACATCGGGACTCTGCTCCAGCGACCCACGAGCCACAAAATGGTGGCAGAGCCTGACATGGAGACTGGCTCTAACTGCTCAGCAATGAGCCCAGAGGACCAGGAGGAACATCAACAATCCCAATCACAACACACTCCACAAGGTGAGGGTGATGACATGGCCCCGGCCACAAAGCGCGACATCAGGCAGTTCTTACAAGAGGTTAAACAAATGTATGAAGCAGACTTAAACAAGGCCCGCACAGAGATACAAGCTGTGACCACAAGAGTCCAGGCCATGGAAGACAACATCATAGACTTACGCCAAGAGGTGAATGACATGGGGCACACCCTCCGCCAACTGCAATCTGCAAACACAGCAGTCCAAAGAAAACTAGACACCATAGAGAACCGCAGCAGACAAAAAAAATTCTAAAAATCCAGGGAATCCCAGACACTGTTGGCACAACCGAACTACCGCACTACTTAAGACTCACTGCTGAACTCCTGCCACACACGCAAGCCAAAAAGATGGAATTTGACGGACAATTCCGAATCAACAAAGCCAAGCAGGCACCCATAACAGCCCCAAGGGATGTCATAGTGAGATGCCACTCTCTACTGGACAAACGCCGCTTACTAGCAGCAGTACGGGACAAGACCCCATACACATATGAATCCTCGCAGCTTACCTTTTTTCAGGACATTACCCGTAACACACTACAATGGAGAAAAACGCTGACGCCAATCACCACCCTCCTCCGCACAGCGAAAGTGGATTACAGATGGCTCCTGCCTAGGGCCCTAGCGGTCACCCGGGACAATACCATCCTGAAACTCACCTCGGTATAGGAGGCCTCATCCTTCCTTCAGTGGCTGGGCATCGCACAGGGGGTTACAACCCCTTCAACTCAACCACTACAACACACTTGGGATCCTGGCAGGACTGTCCCATTCATCCCACGAAGAGACAAGGGAAAGAAGGCAGTCACATGAATCATGTCCTCTTACACCTAATTCTCTTGTATATGTTCTGTGCATGTTATGTATAATTTAAATTAAAGGACCACTATAGTGCCAGGAAAACATACTCGTTTTCCTGGCACTATAGTGCCCTGAGGGTGCCCCCACCCTCAGGGTCCCCCTCCCGCCGGGCTCTAGGGTGAGGAAGGGGTTAAGCTTACCTCTTTCTCCAGCGCCGGGCAGGGAGCTCTCCTCCTCCTCTCCTCCCATCACGGGCTGAATGCGCATGCGCTGCAAGAGCCGCGCGCTCATTCAGCCAGTCTCATAGGAAAGCATTATCAATGATCACTGCTTTCCTATGGATGCTGGCATCTTCTCACTGTGAACATCACAGTGAGAAGCGCGGAAGCGCCTCTAGCGGCTGTCAATGAGACAGTCACTAGAGGCTGGATTAACCCATAGGTAAACATAGCATTCTCTGAAACTGCTATGTTTACAGAAAAAAGGGTTAATCCTAGCTGGACCAGGCACCCAGACCACTTCATTAAGCTGAAGTGGTCTGGGTGCCTATAGTGGTCCTTTAAGCTGTTACACGCAAGTTACTCCGTTTCTACCCTCACCTCTCTTAGTAACAGCTCCAGCCCGAGCATGCTAAAGATCCACCACCCGTGGCCCCCTTAGGTAAGGGGTTGGAAATAATTGGGCGCACAGTAGGTATCACTCAACCCCACACACCCCGCACTGGCAAGTTAGACAAGAGGCAGAGGCATTCACTACCGATCCATCCTAGAGGTCTCTAGATCAGACCCGGTCGGGTCGAGACAACCCACATGCCAACACACACATAGCAACCCAAGCCCCTCACCCCCCCGAATCACATATTTACAATCAAGCCACACAAGAACGCAGGGTGATACTTACTTGCACCACCTACATAATAAAACATTGCTCAAACCATGAGCAAGCCATACCCAGCCTGACAACTATAACAGAATCTAGCTTGAAGTTCTGATGCCGTTCTGTTCGTCTATACTATATAAATAAGTGCATTGTTTTTTTCTGATTACTGTTATAATAATATGTCCTGCAACCAATATCTGTTTCTCGCAATCTACCACATGCTGACATGTATGCCCTTGTTATGCACTGCTAAAATAAAGAATTAGAAAATAAATAAATAAACAAACAAGAGGCACAGGCTCTCTCCAAGACCAGAAGAAACAGAAACCCATACTAAGTATTAAAATAGAGTAGGGGGGGACCCGGGTGGGAGGGACAACACAATTAATAAGATTTACAAGATGAATTGATGATGACAATATATCAAGGCATGAAGTATATAAGTAATAATAAACGAACGCAGGGCTGATATAAGTCTGAAATTAATTAAAAAAAAAAAAAAAAAATGTAACTAGCCTATGTAGCAGATAGGCTGCCTCACATGGTAAATAGCGATAGTAGCAATAGATTATTACTTAATGGTAGACTAGTAAGGGTTTAATAACAGCATACCCTGTACGGGGTCATGGTCAGCTGTATAGCAAACCCAATATAGGTATTATCCTGCACACGTCTGTGCCTAGATAAAAAAAAAAAAAACTATGTAAATATGCCAAGAACTTCATTGCGCTGTGAATAAATCACTGAGAAGAAGCCTTATAGGTGATATATTAGGCCTTATAGGTGATGGAGCCTTTGCCATATTTTTATTTATGAATGAAATGCTGCTGCAAAGACAAATAGCAGAAATGATGCTACAGACTGCTAGAACAACAGAAATATCTAGACTTTTAACGGTAAATAGCCCTACTTAAATAACAAATGCATTTAAGACTATGGTGTAGTACCACCGTTTCCCATCTCTCTTTAGGTTTTTTTTATTTGGGACTATTTTACAGTATAAAACAGCTCCATTCTCCATGTATTATACATTTAGTTGCTTCAAATGTTCACAGTAGCAACCGATATTGGATAGCAAGATCACCCAGGTGGGATTATTATGTAGCATTCTCTTTTTAGTTTGACAAATATAGTTACTATTAGAAGTTATCATATGAGACCATAATTTTAGCAATATGTTTTAGAGACGAAATATATCTCTACCACTGATTTTTTTTTACGATTGAAAATTTAAGCGGCTATAAAAATATACAGTAGCAACTCTATGAATCTTCAATATTTTAACACACAACAGCAATAAGGAGCAAAAATACAATGATTCTCCAATACAAACAATTCTAGGCTTCTGCCAACCATAAGCCTATCAAAATAATTTCACAAATGTAATTATTACTATATAAGCTTTCAAGCTTTACTTATGTGAGTCCCAAATTGACTCCAAGTAAACATAAAAGTCCATATATGTCCTGCAACGTCCTGGAAGGGGTTAATCTGCCTTAATTAAGCAATTCCCCTCCCGAGAAAAGGAATTATATTATGTCATCACATACGTATTTTAAACTTACGAATCAGAAATTCTCACACCGAACCAATGAGAGGGCATCTCCTCTTATTTCCATTCAGTGCTCTGTACCGGCCGGTTCCTTTCTGACAAGCCAGGTCAGGCGAAACGGTCCATTTAGTGCTACTCTCAATGACTTTGAACTAGCACACGGACTTGCTACCGCGCATATGTTCTTATCATTCCTTCACCTATTCACTTAGTGATCATACTATATCCATACTATATCCTTGCCTAGCGGGATTAGCAGTAGGTGCCCTCAAAGGCACGGGAGGGAAGCTGTTCAGCCCAGGGAAGCTATTGGTGGGAGATTTGATTCAGCACCGATCTTATTAAGGGAGTAGTGTTCTATTTATCCATCATCCAGTGAGCGTAGTTCTATCTGCTACCACAGCAGACTAGGATTTTATATTGATAGCCACGAAGCTACCAAGCTCGGTCACTACTTATTTCACAAAGGTATACCACTCCCCTTATACTAGACCCCGGGAGTACCAAAAGGTGCTAATGCATGATTAGCCATGGCAAGTCTTTTCCTTTTCTACTGTCATGGAAACCAACATGATTTAATATTTCTAGTCCCATTGGGGATTGGCCCACCATTATTTTGCCTCTTAGTACCATTTATTTATTTATTTATTTATTTTTATCTCCCCTTCCCCTTCCTTATTATTTTTACTGTTAAACCACCTTCCCGCTCTAATTAGACAGAGTTTTTTTATATAGGCACAGACGTGTGCAGGATAATACCTGTATTGGGTTTGCTCCACAGCTGACCATGTCCCCGTACATGGTATGTTGTTATAAAACCCTTACTAGTCTACCATTAAGTATTAATCTATTGCTACTATCTCTATTTACCATGTGAAGCAGTCTATCTGCTACATAGGCTAGTTACATTTTGAGACCTACTTGAGTAGCAACAGTGACATTCATGTTAATGTAACTGGTTTAATTTCTAATATACTGATTACTTTGTTCACCTTTTGTACACAAGCACATATAGATATATATATATATATATATTCTCTTATTTTTACTATATTTAATACAATTTCATTATTTTTTCTTTTATTATTTATATCCTATTTCCTAGTCTGGTAGATATTTTTGTAACTATTTGGTACTTATATTAGAGTATATTCTATCTTTCCCAGTCCCTACCGTTACACATTCTTTGTTGGTTAGTTTCCTCAGTGTACCCGGTATTGGCTCTACTCCAGTTCCTCTTCTTTCAGGGAGCAGTTAAAACACAGGAATACAACACAACACAGGGGAAACACGGGGAATAACACATAGCAATGCACGAACAGGCCACAATGCCAAAATAACAGACTATTGCAGTATTTATTTATAAAATATTTTACCAGGAAAGATACATTGAGATTTCTCTCGTTTTCAAGTATGATACCTTTTTTATTGGACTAACATAATATTTCAAAGACAAGCTTTCGAGAGTTTTAGAAGGGGGTGAGTTAAGGACAGGGGGTGTGAGTGGGGTATCATAAATAGCAGAGGATGTGCATGAAAGTGAAAGGTGCAGGTTGGCTGAAAATAGTCAGAAAAGTAAATAAACAGGGGAGATTCAAAAAGCTAGTTAAAAATAAAAAACAATAACCACAAAAAACAAACAAAAAACAGCAGAGCAGGGCATGCAAGTAAATAGCTGCATATATGTATGTATATAAATTGATCCAATAAAGGTGAAGCGAGAATTTTGAAAAAGAACCACAGGTATACAAGACATTAAGATGTGTGCTTATAAAAAGGCTTGATAGTGTATGAGAAAGCCAGAGCCTACATTAAGTCCTTAAGTTCTGGTGTTGAAATGTGTGATCATTTTCATCTCAAATGTCTTTCGTTCATTAGAGTCTTTAAAATTCCATTTAAGAACTTGATCCCTTTTTTTTGGATGGAGTGACCAGTCTGGGTGAAGTGATGACCGGGGTCACCAGGGGTACAATATCCATTTTCCTTGTGGTTCTTGATTGAGTGTAGGTTCATGCTGAGAT